AGCGGACAAAAATGCATCTGCAGCATCAAAGTGAGGCGAAGGACGGAAAACGAGCATGTATTTATTGTCTCCTTGAGCAGCCGGCAGTTGGAGGTTATCAAAAACTTGTGATTTTGCACGCACTTTCAGCTGTCGGTAAGGTACTACACGTTGAAGACTGTGGAATCCTGGAAAGAAATATATATCTACAAAATCTATATATATCATATCTCATACTAACAATATATATTATATCTACAACGAAATGGCTTCCCTATTGTGTGATGTCTCAGCATTCGGTCGTGTTTCACTTCCAAGGGATCAGTCAATAAAGAAATGAAATAGGATGATTTTAAATTACCTCCACTAATGATGCTATTAATTTTTAACACAAAACAGAATAAAGAAAGCGACTGGCTGTTCCGCAGACAAGGAAAATCCGGATGAAATCGGAACGAATCCGTTAGAATGCGAGACATCATGAGAACGTGTACACCGTCCATAAACAGCTTGACCGATAAGTTGAAGCTCATTAAACAGTTAGAAGCGATATTCGCAGATTTGCAAAATAATTCGAGTACACGCACTATCACTAGTCGCAATATCTTTATGCCTTCCGAAATCTCATACCCTCCTTAAACACTATTTGAACTCACGTTCATTCACTTAACTACAGTAGCCAACCTCTTCTAGAACTAAGCGCTCTTTAATTATCGTTAAAGTCATTAACTAGGTGCCGTTAAACAATAATAAATCTCTTCCAGCTAAAAATGCAAAAGAAAATGCAATGCAGTTCATTGGAAAAATGAGATAATTCGCAACAATTTTATGATAACTTAGAGTAACCTTGTCGTTGGAAGGAATATGCCAAAATACCTGATATAGAATAATCGGTGCTTTATTCAATAAGTAGGGGTAAAACATTACAATAACTTACCGAAGGCCCATCTTCAAACGCTTTCATGAAGGTTATTGTCTTGAGAGCAAACTTCACGTCTTGTGACTTCTCCTTTACCTCGAGCACTGTACTGCAACATCCAGTCGCGATTTCACCGATAATTTCAAAATCCTCCATCGATATGGCCAGTGGCTTCAATTCTTCATAGATTCTTTGATCTGCAAACAAAGCACGCTTTTAATCTAAATTGCAATCTGCTTATCGAAAAAAATAGCACATTCAAACAATGTTATGCCTGTCAGACACAAAAGTTTAAGAATAAAAATTCTGGATGAAAACAAAAAAGGGAAAAACTGAAATCTGGATGAAAAATATTTTACAGCGTTTTCCGTACTTATCTAGTTTTACACAAATATATCGAGTTTCCATTCATTGATGCTGCTTGCAGAGCATGATTCAATCAAACTACTTAATATTGTAACGACTTCAAAGGTGAACATCAGATAATTAAACGAAACGTGCTTCGAGAAAGCATTCCAAGAAGATTCACTTCTATCTAGTGTTACGATTTGTTTCTTTCGTGTCATCTGTTACTAGGTGAATATGCTATAAAGTAGCCAAAATTCAACGGTTACCGCAGCAAGTAAATTTGTTTACCC